TTCTGGAGGTTCTGATGAGTTATTTGACTATTGTTTGCGTACTTAGTAACTTTTATGATAAAAATTTTAATTATTCTTTTTCGGCACCAGTCTCTTCGGATCGCACCGCTGCCACCAAAATTAATGTTACGAGAGTAACAAATAGAATAAAATAAAATAGTATTGCCGAATAATTAATTAGTTTATTAAAAATAAAAGTGATAGTATTCATACAATAATTGTCAAATGACTGACGATGCTCTGTATTACAATCGTCGCAGTCGGCCCACTTCCCGGTTTCGCAACACCGAAAAATACTTTATAGACACATTCTTCTAGGCCGACCTCAATTACAATTCAATTTATGATTATCTGTTATTAAAATTGTGGGACAATATTAAAACTAAGTTAATTATTCATAACAAGTTTTTATTCAACCCCTTCTGGTGCCGCATTAGGGTTGAAATATGGCACTTGATGGTTGTTTTTGCTTTTTTTGTTTTTAACTCGACAACTATTACACTTAGCGCTAAAATGAATAAAATAATAATTATAGAACTTATTATTGCCTACAAATAAGGTAATAACAATAATTTTCATAAATTCATTATATTTTGAGAAAAATAACTTAACATAAAAATTTTTCAAAATTTAATATAAATATATTTTTTTAAATATTTTAATATTTTTACTGAGTATTTGAAGTTTCATCGAATTTTTCCTTTAAAATTTGTTTTAGTAATATTTCCTAAAAAAACTCACATTATATTTCACGTTAGTGCAATTATATATTGATGTATTAGAATTTATGGCACAAAAATCAAATATCAGTTTACCTGTACTGTTCTAAATGATATACTTATTATTTTGAACGTGTGGAATTTACTGTGATTATCCATAGAAGATAAGAATTGTGGCATTATTGTTGTTTGTGTAATAATAAGTAACGATAAAAGTTCTTACCAATAATCATTTTTCATGGACTAATATCAAATATTTTCTTGTAATTTAGTTTTTTGCTTATTATTGTGTCAAGTTTTAAGATTTGTTAAAATATTAGTTTAGTGATANGTCAAGTTTTAAGATTTGATAAAATATTAGTTTAGTGATACAGTTTTTATGAAATTTTATTTTATTTAAATATGTCACGTAACCAAGTGTATTTAGTAGGAGCAATGAATTATCAAATTACTGGAGGTAAATTACCTTCAGTTAAAAATGTTTTGAGTGAATTGTATTATAATTTAAGATTTGTAAAATTGAATTTGAATGAAAGTGCGGCGCTTGCTGTTGACGAGTATCTAATTTACTGGAAAAAAGCTCGAATACCTACGCAAGATCCAGCTAATATTATAAGAAAATTAAAAAAGTTTTACGATGAACTGAAAAATTTAGAGAAAAATAAAACCAGGACGAGCGACTTATACAAGAAAAGAGAACAAAATTTTGTAGACCAAATCGAAGAATTGTTTGATATAGCTCATGCTAATGCAATCAGTCTAATGAAGATCCAGGAAGATATTGATTTTTTGCGACTTCAACGAACTAAGGGACGTCCCGGATGTATGATGGGAGTAGATATGAATTTAACCCAAGCAGAAAAAAAAATGCAAATAAGACAAGAACAGAAAAATAAAATACTTATACCTCACTCAGATACAGAAACTTTATTAGAAGGTAATTTTTAAAAATAATGAATGTTTAATAAACATTGTTTATTATATTTTTAATAATTATATATGATTTAATTTAGAAAAATATTCATGTACTTCATCGGATTCATGTGATATGGAAATCGTAAGTGAAGAAGAGAGACAATTTTCACCAGTAGCAGGTCCGTCAAAAAATAAAAGAGGTAGAAAAGAACTTTTAACTTCTAGATTATCTGCCACTCTTGATAGGTGTAAAATAAGTGATAGGGATGCTGTTCATTTGTTAACTGCATGTTTGGATGCCTTATCATTAGATCCCAGCATATATGTTTTAAACCGATCGTCAATTAAAAGGTCCCGTGAACATTATAGACAAAAAATTGCAGAAAATATTAGTTCTAAATTTCATGAACAAAATTTGAATTTTGTTGTGATCCATTGGGATTCAAAAATGCTTCCAGACCTTACAGGGAAAAAAAAAGTCGATCGCCTCCCTATTATTGCAACCGCCTTAAATTTTGAACAGCTTCTTGGAGTCCCTTATATACCCTCTGGGAAAGGTTTAGAAGTATCATCAGCTGTCTATGACGCTTTAGTCAAATGGTCACTATTGGAAAAAGTACAGGCTTTCACATTTGATACTACGGCCTCTAATACGGGAAGGTTGAATGGGGCGTGTTTTTTGTTAGAGCAACGTCTTGGAAGAGAAATTTTATTCTTAGCATGCCGACACCATATTTATGAACTTGTTTTACAAGGCGTATTTTCAGATACCAAATTATGTCCTTCAATCGGACCAGAAATATTATTATTCAAGATGTTTCAACAAGAAAGGGAAACAATTGATAAAACAAAATTCTCTACATCAATTTCTGATACTTATGTTCATAATATTTTAAAAGATGAAGCCGATGAAATTATTTTATATGCAAAAAGTAAAATTACTGAATATCTCCCCCGAGATGATTATCAAGAGTTTTTAGAACTTGTTATTATATTTTTGGGCGGTGTTCCTCAAAGGGGAAATGCTTTTCGAAAACCGGGTCCTTATCATTTAGCCAGATGGATGGCTAAAGCAATATATTGTTTAAAAATATTTTTGTTTAAAAATCAATTTAAACTAGACAGCAGAGAAGAAACATCATTAAAGGATATTTGTTGTTTTATTGTAAAATGTTACGTTCAAGCTTGGTTTTCATCTCCAAAAGCTATAGAAGCTCCTTTTAATGACATATTATTTCTTAGAAAATTAGAATCTTATAAATTACAAAATAAAAAAATCGCAGACGTGGCATTAAAAAAAATAACTAATCATTTGTGGTATTTAAATCCAGAATGTATTACTTTTTCCTTATTTGACAATCGTATAGACTATAATACAAAACGCAAAATGGCTGAAAAAATTCTAAGTTATAATGATGATGATGATGAAGAAACTAATCTGAATAAAAAGTTAACTCTTACACCGATGTCCCCAATTTTCTTCAAAAAGACCTACCAACTGATTTAATAACTTCCAAATCAATTGAAATGTTTAAGCGGTTTAAAATTCAAACAAATTTTTTAAGCATTGATCCAGCTTATTGGAATTATCAGGAAGACTTCAAAACAGGTAGAGAAATAATCAAATCATTGAAAATAGTTAACGACACAGCTGAGAGAGGAGTCAAGCTAATGGAAGAATATAATGATAAATTTACTAAAGACGAAGAACAAAAACAATTTTTATTGCAGGTAAATTTAACAATTTTTATTTTTAACTTAACTTAATTATATCGTTTAAATTTTTAGACCGTCCAAGACTATCAAAAAAAATATCCAAAATGTGATAGAGAAACATTAAAAAAAATATATTAAAAGACAAATACTAGTTCCATGTAGATAAATGTGCTATGAATTTTGTAATAATTATGTGTTGATAGAATGGATTATACATTTTTTTTTATTTAATCTTAGTTAATATTCATGAAATTATTATATAGTTATTTTATACAATTTTTTACTTAGCTTTTTTTTTTTAATATTAATTTTATAAAAAAAGATTACATGAAAATTTAATGAAATTTCAACCACTCAGTAAAAATATTAAAATATTTAAAAAAATATATTTATGTTAAATTTTGAAAAATTTTTATGTTAAGTTATTTTTCTCAAAATATAATGAATTTATGAAAAATATTGTTATTACCTTATTTGTAGGCAATAATAAGTTCTATAATTATTATTCTATTCATTTTAGCGTTAAGTGTAATAGTTGTCGAGTTAAACACAAAAAAAGCAAAAACAACCATCAAGTGCCATATTTCAACCCTAATGCGGCACCAGAAGGGGTTGAATAAATACTTCCAAATTTTACCTACATTACATTTTAATAGTATTTAACCAATCTAGAGGGTACTGTCTTAAAAAAATTGAGTTTGAAAAATAAGGACCACCCTAATACATATATTATAATAATATAATTTAATTATTGTTAAAATATTGTGGGGGCAGGACTTTGCGAGGGGGGGCAAAAATAACTCACAATACATAACATTAAACACAAAATACCTAAGGCGCCGGCCTAAACCAGCGCCTTAGGTCCTCCTGTACTGGGCGACGCGGCTGCCTCTGTCTCAGGCGTTCAGCTTCCTCCTTCTTTTTCAAGATGGATTCGGCGAATGCCTGGACGAGCCTCCACGATTCCCGGCTCCTCAACATCAGGTCCACCATGGACCCGACTCGGAACGTGGACCCTAGTCGAGACTCCAAAGAGTCCCGTTCCTGGGCCCACGATTCGCACCGGAAGAGGGTGTGCAGAGCGCTATCAGCCTCTCCCGGGCGATCCGAACAGTGGTCGCACGTTGGCACGGCTGCTTTACGAATACGGTGTAAGTACTCGTTAAAGCACTTAAAACGTAAACTAGATTTGAATTCTCATACGTCTAGATGTAAATTCAATGACATATCATTTATATATAAATTATTAAATAATAAAATAAGTTTTCCTCAAATACTCAAAAAATAATCTGGCATGTTCCCGTTTTCAATGCTTCTTCCACAACTACATTTAATATTCCTTTTCATTCTCAATCGTACAGTTTCAACGACCCTTTAAGTGGCATGTTAACAGAATTTAATAGTATTGTCTTTGGTTTTAATTATGATAATGAAACTAAACTTCGTCATTTAAGTCTAGATTTTGTATAAATTAATTACATGTATATAGAATTTTTAATTTAATATTATTATTATTTAGACTTCTAACATTCTGATAATAGCCTGATAAATTAAACTTATGGTTTATTATATTTACATTACTTTTATTCTTCCAAGGCTCATTTGCGTTGAATAGTTTTTTTTGGTTGAAGTGGGAACACCGTTAACAAATTTAATGAACCAGCCGTTATCACCACTATGTTTTTTTTCATCAATTTGGCGTTTGGCGTCCTTATATTGAATACGCTGTTGATTTGTTTGATTGGTTCCGATGAAAATATGTTTTAGTGTATCATTCGTGTGTAATTTCCGCTTCGCTTTTAGAATGGATAACACTTCTGCTTTACTTGCAAGATTAACTAGTAGAGGACGTGGTTTTTCATTTTTCTTCCTATACGAGTGACATGTATTATATGAGTAGACAAAAATAGTGAATTAAACATTTTTTAATTATAATTGGTGGATTCTCATTCGTATCATTATCCTCATTAACACCAAAAATCATATTATTCTTTGATTTTCCATGCGCTCTTAAATTAAATTAACTATTTAATTAAATAGTCGTTACTTTAGTTGATGGGTCAAGAGAATTAACATGTTTACGTGACGTATCAAGCTCGGTTTTAAGTATTCTGTTTTCCTCCCTCAAGTTAGCAATATCGGATGTAAGGTTTGTTGATGATTGAATCAGTTTTATTCCCTTGAATCGAAATTTTTGTTGTAATTGAAGTAAGGTTGCTGTCATAGAGTTAGAGACTTCATTAAATCTGATAATGAAGGATCACTTTTTGACGTTTGGCTCTGTACTGGAGATTTGATTATTTTTAACATTTTGACCTTAAGTAATACTTAAATAAAAATATGTCGATTGAAAGTTCAGTAATTAAATATAATGTAATTTATATACTATAAACGGATATTGTAAGTTATTAAATTTAACAGATAACGGAGCGGATATGGTAACGTGTTCACGGGTCAACAATCAACAGTACATTGATTATTGAATATTGTTTTATGAAATATTTATCAAATTAAGAATATTAAATTTGATATACGTAGCTAATAATGGACACATTATGTTAGGCATATTAAAATTAATTTAAGTGTCTTAAAAATTTACAAATTAGTATAAATTTTAATTTTAATTTTACTTTCATTGTAATGTTTCCTATACTATGAGAGGTGACGACTTGGGCCACACTACGGATTGTGGAGTCGCCACCCTCGTGGCTTCCTTGCAAAAGGAAAATCGGGTCGCCAACCACTTAGGTGAGGGTCATGATCATAAAAAAAACAACACCCGGATCATAAGTGGATTTAAAAAAAAAACAAAACAAAAAGTAAACCAATAATATTAATTTTATTATAATAATAATATTTATATATTGTAATAATATATAAAAAATTAAATGTATATATATATATATATATACTAAGATATAAAGTGTTGATGTATACTATAATACGCTGTACCTTGTAAGTAAAACAAAATATGTTTGTTTGATGTCACCAGTGGTGGACATACTTTAGTATGTCAAAGACCGTTACCTTAAAACTAGAGACAATTATTTAAAGGAAAAAAAAATAAGATACAAGTGAATATTGAAGATATTCACGCAATAAAAAGATTTTTGTTGATTAAGAAAATTAAGGGGACTTTATTAAATTATGACAGTTAACTTAATAGTGGACAAAACCCGAAGGCAAAAACCACTCTGAAAATGAAGTGACAAGAAAAAAAAACATTTAAGACAAAAAAAAAATTTTAACTTATAACTTTTAAACAGTACACGTAAAGTGTCTACCTCACCGGAACACGTCCGTGTAATCCGGGCGCGGCGGATATTTTTTGTAATCGGGCCGGCCGGACCGTACTTGGGCACTGCGGGAATAGTATATATTGTAAGGTTTCAGCCAAACAGAGGGCCTACTAATTACCCACTGCCCAGGTGGAACACTGGACAGTGACCTAGTAGCCGCGCCAAACAAGATAGTACTTGTCGACGGAGCTACTAGGTTTTGAGAAAAACAAATATTAAGAAAAGAGAAAGGCCATGTATAACATAATAACATCTTTTCTTTTTAATTATTGAATATTTTTAGCATATATATAATTTTAAATGTATAGTCATGAGGAAGAGAAAAAAAAAAGAAAAAAAAAAGAAAAAGAGGTGCTCTATATAACAGTAATAATGGGTTTGAAAAGGGGGGTTTCAGGTTGTACTTGATTGTTGATTGAAGGGTGACGGCCCACCACCGGCCATAGCTGCGCCTCACATCACCATCATCATCATCTCGACATTTATTTTAATAAAAAAAACGGAGGACAAAAAAAAATACAGCCTGGTTGACTCCAAAGTAGACGGCAGATCAACTCGACGTTTTATTTAAAAAAAACGGAGGACAAAAACACAACGGCACCACTTGGTTGACAGCAGATCCACTCGACGTTTTATTTTTTTATAAAAAAAAAACGGAGGACAAAAAAATATATGAACAGCCGGGTTGATACAAGTCGACAGCAGATCCACTCGACGTTTTATTTTGATAAAAAAAACGGAGGACAAAAAAATACAAAAAAGAAACGTGGTTTTCAAAATATAATTATATAAAAAAAACACGAGTTGTTGCCTCGACGGTATAGGTGAGAGAAAAAAAAATGTTGTAGCGGCAGTTGTGTAGTGGCCGGTGATCGTGACGCTGGGTGGTGGTGGTGCCAACTTTGAACACGTTCATTGAGGGGACATTACAATATTGGTATAGGTGCACAGTGTACGGTCAGCTGATGATGACAGATATCGGACCGGTTGACAAGTGGAGGTTATCATATACAAAATTATGAAAATACTTTACACCTACTGCACATACATCTAATTGATAAGATTAATATAAAAAAAAAACTTGTATAAATTCTGCAACATTACAAAATATATATTAAATATACATGACACACCACTGACCAATAACCTTGTATTTATTAATTATAGCTAAAAATATTAATATATACACCTCATAAAAGAATAAAACAAATAAACAGAAAAGGCTCAAAACAATATATTAAATAAAAAAAAAAAATACGATATCCAGTCCAGGATGGGACTCATCCTAAGATGGGGATTTCGGCCCCGGAAATGGCCGACGCCTTGTTGAATTAATACATAATTAAAAAAAAAAATGTCACACACGAAAACAATATTGGCTGTACGTACACAGCAACAAAATACCACAACGGTGGTTCAAAGGGAAGAGAGTCACAATTTTTGTTACACAACGGGCGAGACACAACGACGACGATGATTACGTTTGGGAGAGGGTATCGGCTTAACAATTTACAAAATATAAAAAGATAAGTGTATTCACAATATTAAAATTATACAGATATTGACAGTGGTGGCCAGTGTATGTGTCATATAGGGAACGATTATTAAACTGATAAAGAATATTGTGTGAATAGCGTTCACCTTGACAGCAACAGTACAGTTTTCTGATTACACGGCCGGATATAACAAACGCGCGCCCATTAGCAAAGCAAAACAGTAAATCTATCTATACCATAAAAATTCATATTTTGTCACGTTACAACTATATAAAACAAATAATTCTGTAGAGTATATAATATATAAGTATATATAGTATATAATATATTTATTGTGTCTATTCATATATTATATGAATAGACACAATAAAAACAACACTCATGTTAATTATGCTTCACGATGCTAAAATGTATTTAATTTAAATGTGTAATTATTTTTAAATAACTAGTATCTTAAAAATTGACATTTATCATTGGCTTTTCCCTCTTTTGTCATTTACAACTACTACTGTTTTTGAATTATATTTAGTTATAGATATAAATCACAAATATACTTCTATATTGTTTTTTTTAGAGTCAACTTTTTTTTTTTTTTTTTTTTTTTTTTTTTTAATTTTTTTTTTTTGGATAATTTNAAATCACGGCACCAGTTTCTTTTGAGGCGTCTGGTTGGGTTACCAGGAAGTGTTAGTGAAGCTAACTCATTGATTAGTTGGTTGGGGATATATTGAAGTTTGGCGTGGAAGCGTTTGTAGTAGGTAGCAGCAGTTTCGTTGATCGAAGGTAATTTGAGGTCAGCAGTTAAGATTGCGTTAGAGACGTACCAAGGTGCACCAGTAATTAATCGTTGACAGATGTTTTGAAAAGCTTCAGAGTCAACTTTTACTATTGATCTGCAAACAGTATAACTAATTTAACATTATAATATATAATTTTACACAATCATTTTATTTATCATTATTGCCAAAACGGAATAAGTGTTATTATTTTTTAAGATTTTTAATGTAAAATATTTTATATTTTAACAGTTTTAATTTACTTTTAGCTACACCTGGTTTTTGTAGAATTTGTTTACAACCAGATATTGAAAAATCAAACAAATGCATCTCCCCTTGTTTTTGTTGTGGTACTATGTCTAAAGTCCACAAAACTTGTTTGGAAAAATGGTTAGGACAATCTGGCTATAATTCTTGCGAAATATGTGAATATCAGTACAAAACACATAGAATATCAACGTAATAAGTATATTTAAAAAATATTTTAGTATATTTATTTTTATAAATATACTTAAGTTACTAATTTGTTTTATAGCTATACATATTTAAAATCTTTCAAAGAATGGCTTCAAAGTACAGAGTCGGAAAATGAAATGAGGCAGTCTCTACCCGATTTATTTTTATTTATTGTGTATACACCACTTTTAAGTCTAGTGTCTTATTTAGGACTGGAAACAAATGAAGCAATATTTCGCGAGACTGCAAATACAACTGTAAATAAAATTATGTAGCTATAACCATTGTCGTACGTCGGTAGTGCCCCAACGTAGACACAAAAGTTTTACACAATTTAATTAATGTTATATATATATTGACGATGAGTTCGTCGTTCAAGCTCTTCTCGAATCCTCCCGTTGGATAAACTGGTCAGCCCCAATCTCTCTAATTAGTGAACTACTAAAGGGGTAGAGTTTAGATCCGTCAGCACAGTCTAGCTCAAAAGTAGCAGACTGAAGGGTGGCTCCTTGTCAGCCACCAGCACAACTACCTTTTTACTATACCCACTAAAGGACGGTTAAGCCCAAAAACTAGCCAGCTCGTACACTAATTATTAAGATTGACTAAAGGACCAGCAATCCAACCTTGACTCTAGCCGCACACACACACACAAATTCTAAGAACACGATGTATATAAATTATTTACGCTAAGTCCAGTTTTTAAATAGTTATTTTATTTACGAAACGTATTAAACACAAAGTTAAAAAGTAATATTAAAATATAACACAAAACAAAATTAAATCGTACAAAGATACTCACGTCCAACCTCCTGACCCATCACTTGACGTTTCTTTGTCAAAAACGTCCAGCCTTCTATCCTTTTCATATTTCCCTTTTATATTCTTTTTCCTACCATTATTAATTTGCTTACCCTGCATTTCCCTTCTATATGACATTATTGTATTGCTTGAGAATTTAAAAATTGCTTACTATTGTTTTAAACCCCGTATTATACTAAAATCGACGTTATTCAGCTATTTACTACACCATCGCAGTGAAATATTTTGAGAAAAGTGATATATCTCCATTTATTCTAAAATATGTAAATAGTAACATGGACTACGTTTTGACTAATCAATATTGACATGGAATGATCCAAATTTTTATGAATAGATATTAATAAAATGTAATACTAATTAAAATCACACTGGTCAGTTCGATAGTATATTTAATTATTACAATAAAACAAAAAAAACCCAGCACAGCGGGGTGGGGTCGTGGCATAGTTGGGTCCAGCGAAGATGATATCTAACACTGATTAAAATCACTATCATAAAAAACGCTTCGATGCAAATCTGTAGATAATGCTTAATTTAAAAAAATTAATGGATTATTCCAAAAGCTATAGGATCTCCTATTTCATTATTTGTATTCTGATTACAAGTTTTATGATTTAAAAGTGTAACACATGAATATATAAATATAAATAGTACTTATCTCAAAAAAAAATATAATGAACCATACATTTTTCAAAAAGTTATAGCATTATAAAGTTAAGAATATAAAAAAGAATTTTTTTACAAAAATCGTATTTTAACTTCGATACGAATCTGAGAAGGTTTAATTTTACTATGATGTGTTTTTTTTTTTGTGTCTGTTACCACTTTTTCTCAGCTCTCGCCGAACCGATTTCTTTCAACAATACGTCAAAAGATCACAAATCGTATATAAACGAAGAAATTACCCTAAAAAATTGAAAAAATTTCTCTCGTTCCCGTAAATAGAGAAAACCTGCAAAAAAATGACAAATTTAAAAATCAACACAATTTTTTTATGAGAAATAATATTTTTTAATCTCTTTTTCATTTGACATACTATATCTTAATCGGGATATTAATAAGGAAATAGCAGATCATGTAGCTTTTCGAATAAGCCATCAATTTTTTAAAATTAAACACTATCTAAAGATTTGAATCGAAGCGTTTTTTTTTTTTATAGTGTTTTTAATCACTTTCAGATATCATTATACTTGATCCTACTATGTCACGTCACCACTGTGCCGCTACCCCCCTGTGCTGGGTTTTTTAGCTTTATTTTTTTTTTTATTAACTTTAATGTCTGTTTTTACCATGAAATTTTTTTTTCATAATTAAGTATATTCAATTAGCTTTAATTTAAGATATATATAAAAATGTCAGTATTTCCGAAACATTAACTAAAGTTAAGTTGAAAAATTTCTACTTTCTATGTGCATTTTTAAGTTTTGAACCCCTCTTGCATAAAGGGAACTGGTCCGATTTTTTTTTAAAAAAAAGTAAGTCGAATGAAAAAGGGATACAAATATTATTTCTCATTAAAAAATTGTGTTGATCCATACACTTTTCAATAAGTTATAGCATAATAAGTTAAATGTAAAATATAAAATCGAAAATTTTCACACAAAAATAGCATTTGGTAGCCATTTTTACCACGAAGACAAGCCCAGATGTAAAATTTTTTATTTCCATAATAAATTACATTACATTAGCTTTAACTTAAGATATATATAAAATTGTCAGTATTTTCGGAACACTTTCAAAAATTAAGTTGAAAAAATTAATTTTTTGTGAAAAAGATATGGCAGTTTTTAGAAAAAAAAAATTTCGAAAATTTGTAATTTTTTGGAGGTTTCCCACATTTACGGGGAACGAGGGAAATGTTTTCAATTTTTGAGAGTAATGTCTTCGACTAGATACGATTTGTGATCTTTTGACGTATTGTTGAAAGAAATCGTTTCAGTGAGAGCTAAGAAAAAGTGGTAAGAGACAAAAAAAAAAAACACAAAATAGTAAAATTAATACCTTCTCAGCTTCGCATCGAAGCTAAAAGAAAATAATAATATCGTGTAACACTATACATGTTCTGTTAGTTTATAATCCATTTAACGAGTAGACTTAAGGTAAAAGAACAAGTTAATTTTTCAGTTAGGAGAAAATTTGGTCAGAGTCTTTATACAGTAACGCGTATAGACATATAAAACGTTGGAAACCGGAGTGATTGTTGACACGGTATTTTTAAAAAGGTTATTAATAATAATAAACGTAACACCGTTATGGAGTCGATTAACTTTATTTTAAATTATCATAATATTATAAAAACTGATGAACAGTGAGGTGCGAAATACAAAAAAAACAATAATGCGCTGATGAAAAATCACACGGCACGTACGGTGGATGTAAGTCACAGGTGAACCGGTTTACATAGTCGCCGACGTGTTTCGCGGTGCTGAACCCCACAGGTCACTTTATGCGGGGTGGCTATGCAGCGTGAACCGATCTCTCGAGAGTTGAAACGACATGATTATCTTCCTTTAACTCTCACGTTGATCTTAACTAACGAATTTTGTCTTTTGAATTATATCAATCCGATGTTAAAAATTGTATTACGAAATATATAATATCTTTATTTTTTTACTTACTGTGTTTTGGTATTGTAATATATATAGTATTTAATAAATTATATTCAGTATTACTAATTTAGGTATTTACTAATCATTTATAAAACTAGTTACTTTGATTGCATCAAACTACAGTGGATTCTTAGCGAATCTATCTTGGTACAAACATTATCTATTAAATTTGATATTTTTATTTATGCTTCAAAATGTTAGTAATTGTAATAAATATTATGTTTAATACCACTGTTCAATCAACCTTAAGCCTACATACTACTTTTCACCGCGCTAAAATTCTTTTCAAATTATCGTTGTAGTTTTCTGTTTTGTATTTTGAAATAACTTTTTTTTATGTTGTTTAATTCATACTTGCTCTATTAGTTATAGTCATAATGACCCATATATGTGTATAATGGGAACATTTTATAAAAATTAATACAATTATTGTATTTTAAGTGCAAAATTTAATCATTGTTTACGTATTCTGAAAACAAGTAATTACCACCAATTTAAAATGCTATTTAAAAAATGTTCACCCTACTTTAACCACTTCGGCGTGAAACCTGCTTGGAAACATTTCGCTGTGTTCATCATCAGGTGTGTCAATGTTTAAGCTGTAAACTAATTTACAGTTATTGGGGAAAACCAAAACGTAGAAATACCTACCGTTTGAGAGTATCATTAATGAGCCGGGTTGTTGCAGTACCAATGGGAAAAGTCTCAACCCATCGACTAAAACAGTTATGACTAAGAAAAACGATTTTCTTCTTCGTTCCGTCCACGGATATGGCTCCATTACTCGATAGTTAGGACATCCTATGGTTGACGAGGTATCATAGGATCGTAATGATGTCCTCGAGTTTCCGATTTAACGGCGTGTTACAAGCGCATACTCCGCATTCACGGACTTACTACAATACTGCGTTCCTCATACCTTTCCAGAAAACCCGCTTTTGTATGACCCTTCAAGTTTTTTTCCATCCAGGATGTGATACTATTCTATGGAAATGATACCTCTATAGTATGTATTCCCTCAGTTTTATTGATAGGCATTACTACAGCCATGATATCAATTTTTTGCTTTATAAGAGTTTCTCTACCATTTGGAATGCTTCTGTTGAATCTTCTTGAATATTCTCGATCAGGTTCTGGTCATCACGTTGCTCCTCCCTTACTTCTTCTAATGTTAAATGGTTATTAAAATTTTTTCAGCTACAGTCATAAGTTCATCCAGTTGACTTTGTTTTTCTCTGAAAAGCGGTAGTTCAATTAAGTTTTCTTCTAATTATTCTTCGTCCAGCATTTTTCTATTTTCTGAATCTTGCGACAAAGCATTAAATACTTCGTTTTATGCTCCAGAAACAATTTTTTTTTTTTGGAAGTTGTAAACTCCAAAGGTTAGTTCCCATCGGATTAGCTTACTGTTATTGACTTTTGCCGTTTGGAGCCATTTTAGAACTGCACTATCGGTTAGTAGTTCAAATCGTCTTGTTCTAGATAGAACTTGTTAACTGAGAAGATGGTCGCCAGACATTCGCGTTCTACTGCAAAGCAACGAATATGTGCTGAGTTGATCTTTTGACTTGAATGACTAATTATTCAACTGTCATTCGGCTTCATCCCTTTTGAATCAGTATAGCACCCATGCCTCCATCGCTAGCATTGGTTGTAAACAGAACGGTTTTGCGTAATCCGGTAGCTTCGGTACCGTTACTAAGGCTGAAAAATACATCCTGTTCAATCGGAGTCTAACGCCAATTAATTCCTTTAGCGAAAAGGTTTGTGAGTTTTGCGTATATCAGTCTAAAACTTGATGTATTATCCATATATCCCCAAAAATCTTACTCTTAGCTCTTTTA